AGGCCGGCAAAACTAAAAAGGTAAGGCGGGCCGTAATACGTTAGGAAAAACGGGGGCGGGCCAAAAAAAAAAAAAGAGGACAGGACGGGCGCGGGCCAAAAGAAAATAGGACAGGGGCAAAGCTATTAATAAAATAATAAGAATAAAGATTATTTCGTTACTTTGCGGGCCACAAAGTGGGTACTGGCGGGCCGTATGCTGTGCAGGTCTAAAGAGTAAGGTTATTCATACCTAGGGCCTAAACCATTTTGTGTGTGTGTATTTGTGTGTGTGTGGAGAATCGTGTTTGTAAGCCATTGGCCTAAGAAGGGTGGGGCGGTCCGCTCCCCGGCGCCACTATTTCGCTATGCAGGGGTTAAAAGAATTCATCGTTTTATTGTGGAAATAAATTGACCATAACATTCGTCTTGATTAACCGCATTATACATTCTTGTCTCGAAATGTACTGCCAAAAAGAGGTGGCTTACTTAAATATAAACAACGACCAGGGAAATCGTCTGTGTCCGAATGCTGTTAAAAAGGCGATAGTTTGTGTTCCCCAGTCCGTTTATTTTAAAGGAAAGAGAGAGTGCGACTAAGTGCTCGCTTTTGGTCGAAGCTGGATGGCTTCGCGGAGGCAAACAGGAACTCCTCTCCGTCTGTGCTTGATGACCTTCCGGATTTTTTGCGAGGATCGGATTCAACGTGGATGTCCGTGGATTTTCTGCTCGTGTCCCCAGCCGTGTTGGCGCCCCCGATTTCCTCACCGCTGTTAGAGCCGTCTTCTGCGCATACGACGTCAACGTCTGTACCTTGACTGTCATCTTGTGGACCCCCGTCGTCGGCATACGATGCGTACACTTGAGAGGTCACCAGCCGTTCTCTGTGCATGGCTCTCAACCTGGACTTCCATTTTAGTGGGTGCGTCACCAGCATCGCCTTGAACACGTCCCTGTACTCTTCGCGCCCGACGGCATACAAAGGCGCGTTGACAAGCGAATTTCCGAAATTTAACACCTGGCTGATGACTTTGAGGATTTCGATATGTTTTTGAGAGAAAACGTGGTAGTACTTGAAGGGGGCTATGAGCACGTAGGGAAGCCATAAAATTATGAAGAGCAGCATCAGGAAAGATGTGATCTTCACGGAGTTTACTCGGCGCTCAAATTGCCTTATTTGGTCGGCACTTAAAAAGGAGTTCTGCTGTCGGAATTTCAAAATCTGCCTGTACGCCACAGTGAGGATCTGGGCATAGAGAATCGCAGAGATTCCAATGCAACCTCCGACGGTCCCGAAAGACCCCCAGATCACGTAGGGCGCCGGCAGAGTGGTGTAGAAGTTACACACGATGGGGAGGGGTTTCCCTTTGGGGTCGTAGTTGTTGTAGCCCATCATGGGGAAAAACGCTTGCGCGATGGTGTACGTCCATATGCCGACGACCAGCTTGATCATTCTTTTCCCCGTAACCAAGTTGTTGTAGTTCAGGGGCCACATCACGGCGATGTACCGGTCGATGGATATGAAGAGCAGAGTGTACAGGGATCCCGCGCCGGACGTCATGATGGAGGCGAACCACGCGAGACAGGCGTACTTGTTGCAGAATATCGCCTCTTTTGTGTACGGTATGTAGCTGAGGGCGTACATGGGGATGGTGTAGGCGCCCATGGTGAAATCGGCGACGGACAGGCTCAGCAACAGGTAGTTGTTTGTCGTGTGGAACCCCGGGTACAAGTAGATCCCCCAGAAGACCAGGATGTTCGACACGACGATGACGGGCATGAAGAGTAAGATGACGGCGACAAAGATGTGGTGGGAGAGAATGACATCCGGGTCGTCCAGGAACGCGAAGGTCTGATTGTTTATGGCCGCCACAGATTCAGGGCTTGTCAAGTCGACCTCCATGCCATACTAGGTCAAGGTCGAGCCTGGAACATGAATGGCTTTCAAAGATTATTAACATCCTTGTAACGGTCGGTAATAACGTATCTTTCACGTTAAACGTAAAAAGGTTTTCGTTGAAGACCTACTTGCCTTTAAAAAAAAAGGAAAAAGAAAAAGAAAAGAAAAGGAAAACAGCAACAAAAACGACACTTAAGTGTTTGCCGTACGTTCAGGGCAGGCCCTACGGTTGATGGCGCCCCAGGCGAGTTTAACTTTGGCGCCTTTTTAAAAAAAGTATAATCACAAAAATTGTGCAAGGAAAATACGGGGTGTTAGGTAATGCGTTTATTAATTAATTATTTAAAAAAAAAAAACAACTAAGAATGGACATTAACATTATTTTCTTAACTTGTATTTGGATTAACAATAACTTAATCTACCGTGAGCCGTATGAACAATTAGCCTACATAGGGCCGTATGAACAATTAGCCTACCTTGGGCCGTATGAACAATAAGCCTACATTGGGCCGTATGAACAATTAGCCTACCGTGGGCCGTATGAACAATAAGCCTACATTGGGCCGTATGAACAATTAGCCTACCGTGGGCCGTATGAACAATAAGCCTACCTTGGGCCGTATGAACAATTAGCCTACCTTGGGCCGTATGAACAATTAGCCTACCTTGGGCCGTATGAACAATTAGCCTACCTTGGGCCGTATGAACAATTAGCCTACCTTTTGCCGTATGAACAATTAGCCTACCGTGGGCGGTATGAACAATAAGCCTACCGTGGGCCGTTTGAACAATTAACCTACCGATGAAATTTTTTTCTAGTCTTTCGATCAGCAAATCTTTTTATCGCACTTTATATTTTTATTCCTTGGCGCCCACATGCAATGCTTTTTCCTATTTTGGAAGCTCATTGATGGCGCCCTAAGCACATGGCGCCCTGGGCAACTGCCCGAGTTGTCACTACCTTGAGCCGGCCCTGCGTACATTTCATGTAACCATCCTATCGTTCTATTCAGGAAATTCGATCCACACAAATAGCAGATAAGTGTAGAAACAGTAATGCGAATAGCATAAAAGTATAGGAACAGTAACATGAATAGCAGATAAGTATAGAAAAAAATAACACAAATATCAAATAAGTATAGAAACAATTATACACATAGCAGATAAGTAGAGAAACAGTAATACAAATAGCCGAAACACTGAGCTGGTCACCATTGGAGGAACGACGAGGACTATCCAGGCTCTCCATGATGTAAAAGATAAATAATGGGCTGGTCCACGGCATTAAACAGAAACTCGTCCCTCTCCCCCGATAGACAGCGACGAGGCCATGACAGGCAATTATTCCGGCTCATACCAGCAAGAAGCCAGTAAGGGAACTGTTTATTCCTGCCCAAGACAATCAGGGACTGGAACAATCTTTCAAAAGGTACAGTCGAGGCGACAACGCTAGACACATTTGTGTCTCATTGCCTCAAGCCTTCAAACCCCCAGTGCATGGTTCCCTAACAAAGTGGCACTTGCAATCAGTCAAATATCCTCATCAACACCAGGAACAGAAACATTGCTAATCCCCTCTACGTGCATTGGAGCCAAAATGATCAATAAATTGATCGTGGGCCCTTAAGATATAGAAGAAGAAGAAGAAGAAGAAACAGTAATACAAATAACAGATAAGTAGAAAAACTGTAATACAAATAGCAGATAAGTATAGAAACAATAATACGAAATATCAGATAAGTAGAGAAACGCTTAAACGATTCTTTCTTATTGACTAAGAAATGTAATTTGCACTTATAAATTTACATTGATAAAATGACAACCATAATTTGCTATATAGACAAAGTGCAGGTCCCAACTCACCATCCACCTTATGCCATTAATTCGTTGTTTATTTTCATTCTTTTGTACAACCTTTATTTAAAAAAAAACAAAAAAAAAAACTTTTTAACAACTGCACTACAGAACACCATGAAGTACGCACACAAAAAAAATAAATAAAAGAGGGCTGCCGATAAGACAAGTTTGCGCACCGTGAGTTCTCAGCTCCGTTTGATTCTCGTGACTATTAAAAGCCATCTTTCAGCTTTTGCATGTCTAAGAAATACATATTCTTCCTTTCAGTCATACCCAGGGATTCTTTAAGCTATATCTTCGGGGGGGGGGGGGGGGGGGAAAAANGCAAAAATATGTCCAACAAATCAATTGGCACTGCTGGCCCGTTCCCCAGCCCCCTAAAACCCTGAAATGCCCTCCCCCCCCCCGAGGAAATTTCTGAAATAATCACTGGTCATACCACTCGTACCTTAAAAAAAATCCCAAAAACACGTGCAACTAAAGTAACGATCCACTACAGACCTGATATTATTGTGGCTTAACACATTATAAGATAAGAATATAAGATGGCGTTAATCTTGAAACGGACAACAATAACTCTAATTCTTCGCTTCCTGATATCAGACTCTTGGTTTGAACAGCCACAAGCGTATCTGCTATACTTCCTTGATCGCTGATGATCTGCAGAATGAAAGCGATCAATACACGCCAGCATCTCCCTTCTCCTCGCAGAGAGCCCAGCGTCTATTAACTATTCTCGTGGCATTATCTTCTTAAACCTTAATTTTCTCTCTACGGAGATTCCAAATTGGTCTGATTTTAAACGTGTCTTTTCGAGATTATAGCATGCTCCAACTAAGTGACAGCGCTTTTCGTGCAGAAACAATCTTAAGGCCTCTAGGTTGGTAATAACTTTGCCAAGAGTAAAGCCTTTAGTCTTCAGGTACTGCTGTATAAGATTGACTTCCTGAAAGTAGATCAGCCCTAATGGAAATGTAGCAGATGTGCGTGGTGTACTCACAGACAGCATGTAAAAGACCTTATTGAGCTGTATGTCAATCGTCCTTACATGTTAAGGGGCGGTGCTAGTGGCGAATCGGCGAAAATATTTATGTTTGAGTATTTCTGGGTTTTGATGTATTTGGATTCAAAAACCATTTTTTTTTTTACATTTAAATAAAAAATATTAGAACAATTTGTAAAACATATTTTTTTACTCTATAACTGGGTAAAAAGTCATTTTTAAAATTTTTAAAATTTTTTTACCGATTCGATCCATGTACTGAGAATCGTCTGACTACATCGTATTTGATATCAATGTAAAGCTGTATTTCTCAAACGTTAGATAAACATAGATTCATGTCCCTTAAGAAAGTTACCGACCACTTCAATCGGCGTTGAATTATTGTCAAAACGGTGTTTTTCTGACATAATTATATGATCAACTCATTTGTAAGGCATCCTCCTTGAAATTTTAATCAAAGCACCCATTTTGATTGGTTGCGTGTGGAAAATGTACGAGTTATCGGTTATCCTTTTCTGAAATTCGGTTAGACCGAGCAGTGTGTGTGCTCTGTTAGACCGAGCAGTGTGTGCTCTGTTAGACCGAGCAGTGTGTGCTCTGTAAATTGCACTTTTTCAATTTGGTGTCACCCCTGAGATGATGTCACCCGGTGCGGTCCGCTCCCCCCTGCACCCACCTAGCTACGCCATTATATTTGAGCAATTGTGTCCAATATACATGTCTATAAATTAAACATAGAGTAGTTCTTCAACCAAAAATTACTAATCATTCCTAATGCTGTACTTTTATAGGATATTGTTTTTTTTTTTTTTTACCTTTAGATATAACGTCGTAAAATTAACTTTGTCCAGATTAGTTTAAATTGTTGTTGTTTCTTCAGTCGCCCTGCCGACGAAGGCTCTTAGGCGAAACGTTCTTCTTTTATATTCCTGTCAACATATTCAGGCTTCCACATACACCTTGTTCAACTATTAAGTTCAACTTCGGAACGGAATTCTTCGCACTCTAAATAACACAAGTTATATGTTAACAAATAAAATAATAATAAAATCTTCAAAAAGAATCTTTTATGTACCCAAAATGTATTCATTTTAAAAAAAAACAACCATGAATACATAAAAGTTACATTATATCCATCCAAAAATTTTGAAAAATGCCAGAGACATAATTTAAATACTGAAACGTTAATAATTATCTCCACTTCCACACTTTCAGAGTATATGGCGCTTGAATGTTATACGGCAGTTAAAACGAGCTTTTAAATAACAATAAAGCCATGCATCTTCTTGTTGGCGCCTTTCATAACAATCAGCCGCCAAAAATTATATCGACCACGAGTCTTCCTTTCGGCTCCTTTCATCATAATCCACAGCTAGAAATTATATCATCCATGAGTCTTAGTTTCGGCTCCTATCTTAATCCGTAGCTAAAATTATATTATCTATGCGTCTTCCTTTCGGTTCCTTCCATCACATTCTGCCGCTAGAATGAATGAATCATCAAAGACACTGTAGAAGGCGCTGAGCGTCTGCGACCGGTGGTCACTGATGACGTCATCAGCAGTGACCAGCTTGGATACCTTGAAGCCGGGTGCATGCTGGTAGTCGACACTTTTACCACGTGTTGACGACGTGAAGGAGTTACTGTGAAGGTCTGAGTACAGACGACGAAGCCGATACCGCCATTCGCAAGGACGCGTCACCAGCATCGTTCCGTACACCTTCATGTACTCCTCACGCCCGTAGGCGTACACGGGGGCGTTGACGAACGAGTTGCTGACTGACAACAGGAACGTGCACACTTTGACCATTTCTATGTGTTTGTGCGAGAAAGTTTTCGAGTATTTGAAAGGTGCAGTGAGCACGTAGGGTAGCCATAGAATAATAAAGAGAAACATGAGACAGGATGTGATTTTGACCGAGTTGACACGGCGCTTGAATTGAACTACCTGTTTTTTGGTCATGTAGCACTGCTGCTTTTTAAACTTCCTGACCTGCCTGCACACGACTATCAATATATGTATGTACAGAAGGCTTGAAAGGGCAAGGCCTAGAAAGACATTTAC